TTGTTGTTTATTATTAGCAATGTTCTTCCTACGTCTGATTTCTTTTTAAAAAATGCGTTTCTAAAGTGCATAAACTTTTGGAATTGACTGTATAGCCAATATATCCTTAATGTATTAAGGTGCTATAGCATGAGAAAGCAATTTACATTTGTGTAATAATATTAATAATGTATGCATATACATATAATATATACATGTACACTGGAATGGAAATTTATGTTTATATAAAATTATAATTTTTATATAATTAAAAAATGTATTGGACCTTTCAGATATTGTTGAATATTTTCCATGCATCGATTATGCAATGCTTAATGCATTAAGTTGCAATAACAAGGAAGAGCAATTTACATTTGCATAAAACAACGGTTTCCAGTCAAGCGACAGAGAAGAGAAGCGAACAGGGGATTCCGGTCACGTCGGATGCGAATGATCGACAAAGAATCGAGCCGCGTGAAGCGACGAGGTGGTTACGGGGCTTTACGAGCGCTTTGCAATCGCTTTTCGTGGCTGCACGAACATCCTGACCTCCATTGTCCCCGTTCTAGTGGGTTTCTGGCCAGTCGATATCGCAGCAGAAACGAGAGCTTTCTCGATGCGATCCGACGATTCAGAAACGTGTGTGCGACTGACATTCCCGTAGGCTGGCCGCGATTCCTACCGCTGGTCGCCAGGACTCGGCCACACAGAGACGACCTACGTCCGAATTAGATAAGACGAATGATCTCTTTGAAGATCGGCCAAAGCCGCGTCGAGGGTCCGTTCGCCTGTCGTTTGATGGCCCGAAGGAATTTTCGGCCGGGACCTTGGCTGGAATACACGAGGATACTTGAAGCTATTCGAGCTCCAGGCTCTTTGATCATCTGATGTTTCAATAGAAAAGGTAGAAAACGGCTGAGGCAGCCGGGGCTAATGGAAAATTTCCATTTTCTAAGTTATTACCAAGTCTCTCGGCGGAATCGAGTGAGGAAAAAATTGATTTTCGTGAAGGCATCGGTGCTCCGGGGTCTTTTAGCGAAATTGAATTAATGTGAGCGAGGAACGTTTCGGTGGAGCGAAATTATTATTATAAAACCTTGACTGACGAGAATTTACTAACTCTAATTCTTCCTCTGATTAATCACAATTTATTGTTAAATATTTACATTTTCTTCAA